GATCTCAATAAATTTGCCAAAATAGAAATTACACATGCCTCATTCTCAGACTAGAATACAATAACATTAGATATTAACAACAATCTAGCTAGCGAATGATTCTGTTTGCTTGGGAATGACAAAATAAAAACATTCTTCTCAGTAAACATTGGGTAAGGAAAAAAAAAATCCAACGCAAATTACCACCTCTTCAAAAGAACAGGAACAGGAAGGCTGTCTATCAAACCTGTGGAATACAGGCAGACCAGTAGTCAGAAGCCTCCCAGCATTTATTAAGAAGCAAGAAAGATTGAAAGTAAACGAATGAAGCATTCAACCCAAGAAGCCAGGAAAAGGAATTAGAAAACAAAGTCAAAGAAAGCAGTGGGAAGGAATTAATACAAATAAACATTGAAATACATGAAATAGGAAAAAAAAAGGAGCTTCATCTATAAAATGCAAAAGCCTGGTCAAAGAAGAGAGAGTGTACACAAATAAACCCATCAGGAGTGAGTGAGGGACATAACCATAGAAGCACAGAAGATAAAAAGTTTAACGAGAACCCTGTGTACAACTTTATACTAATACATTTGGAAGGCTTAACAAAATGCATTATTTTCTTAGAAAATATAAATTACCAAGTTTTAATCATGATGCTGTAGAAAATCTAAATACACAGACAACATAAAATAAAATGATAAGAAAGCTAAATTTACAATTGAAAAGAAGACATCTAACCCAGGGGATTTATAAGCTGGTCCTACCAAATCATGAAGAAATAGATAACCTCTATCTTATGTAAACTGATCCAGAGAAAATAATAAAAGGATGTTTTTCTAATTTATTCTAAAACCCTAGCATAATCCTAATACCCAAACTGGGCAAATGTATGCTCATCCATCTATGTATATCTGGTAGACACATTAGAACTGATAAGCTCTGGTAGGGTGAAAAATCAACTTAAAAAATCAGTAATATCTCTCCTCAGTATCAGCAATAAATTCAAAAATATAAGGGGGAAACATAAGTGAAAAAATGATCTTATTCCCAAAGTGGAAAAGAGTGTAATAAGAGAAGGTATCACTTTATGTTTGGACACACTGCATTCCAGACATAAATCATTTAATCCTCACAGTGGCCCTATGAGGTGGGAATTCCTTTATATATAAGCAAAAGAAGTACAGAGAGCTTAAGCATTTTGCCCAAGGTCACACAGCCATTAAGAGATGGAATCAGGTTTTGGACTCTGGTGGTCTGGATCCAAATGCATGTTTGTAACCTTCAGAGCATGTGCATCGCATAAATACCTATGAATAAGCTCTCACAAGAGACACCCACATTTTTTATGACCAAAAGTCTAAAACTTCAGTGCAGTGAAGGTTTTTAAAGGAACACTTAATAAGTGGAGATGCAAATGATGTCTCTGAATTAGAAGACTCACAACTGTAAAGATCCAGTATCAATCAGTTAGGATAAGATATGCCACGTTGCTATAACAAACCAAAAGCTTGCACACGAGTTTCTTTCATGTTCATGGAAAGTCCACTGTGACTGAGGCAGCCCTCTTCCATCCTGCAGTGTGTATCTGGAACATGTGGTCTTCAAACTTGCCATTGAAAGAGGATAGGGCTTGAGGATCACACAGGATGACCAAAAGGGCTGGGTCTGGCCATAACTTCTATCAGCACAGATTCCATTATTCAGAATCCTGTTATGTAGTCTCTCTGTCCAAACTGCAAGGGAAGCTTAGATCTCTAGTCTCCAGTGCATGTCCAGTGTGGTCAATACCCAGTTAGCAGCAGTGCCCAGCAAAGTTGAATCTCAATACATATTTCTTAAGGAAAAAAAAATACCCATCCCCCAATTTAACCTCAAAGTTCAATGCCATATCACTCAGAATTCCACTAGGATTTTACATGGAATTTGCAAACCACCTGCAAAATTCATCTGAAGGGAAAAATGAATAAGAATAGTGAGGAAATTTTGGAATGGAAAACTAGTTATATTTTACTGTATCCAAACCACACTGTAAAGCTATGGTAATTTAAAGTAGTATAGAAATCTTGCAGGAATATACAGATAATAAAATAGGAAAAAAATCCAACCATGTATGCATGGTATACATTGGGATTTAGTATATGATAAAATAGTGTTTAAAATTAGTGAAAGGATGGACTCCTTAGGTATTGCCCATTCATCTAAAAAATAAGTTAACTACTCCCACCATGCAAAAATTAAATTGCATACAGAGTAAATAAAGGTGAAAAATTTGTATGAATACTAGAAAAATCTGCAAAAAAATGTATCATTTTGTGGCTTCCTAAGCATTGCACAAAGTTCTAAAGCAATAAAGGTTATAAGACAATATAGAGGTTATAAGACATCAAAAGTGAGATTGAAATGCAAGTTCAGACTGGAAGAAAATTTCAATATATATGGAATGTGAAGGATAACTATCTAGAAAATATACAAGGCCTGTGCAAGCCAATAAGGGATGAAGCGCCGTAATAGGAAAATGGCCAAAGCACATGGATGGACAACCTACAGAAGGACACTGAAACATGACTGCAACATGGAAAGGTGGTAGACCTCACCAGCAATCAGGCAAAAGGAAAATGAGGCAAAAATGAGTAATTTTTTTCCCATCCCAGACTGGAATAATGAACATGAAAGATGTGGGGAAATAGGCTCACTCATTCATCAGTGATAGTATTATAAACTGGCAGAGCTTCTACAGACATCCTTCTAGTAGATCTATCAAAATTTTAAAACTCCTAAAACATTGACCCAGCAATTCCTCTTTTACAAATCTCTTTTATAGAAACACATACATGTGCATAGTGATATATACACAAAGATCTTCATTATGGCACTATTTGTAATAACAAATGGTGATAAACAACCAAAATGCCCATCAGTAAAGATTAGGTAAAAGCATTATGGTACATTTATACTGTGTAATGCTGAATAACCATTAAAAAGATAGATCTATATGAATACTGATTTGAAAAGATTTCTGAGAAATAGTATTAGGTACAAATACCTATCTATCTCACAACAAAATATAGTATAATTCTGTTTATTAGTTTGTTATGAAAAAAAATATGTATATATCTACCCATAATATATACATATATATGTGTTGTATATACGCACATTGTATATGTATACATACACACAGACACACACATTGTATTACAAGCAGTGCCGTGATGAAGATCTTTGTATTTGTATCACTTTGCACTTGTGTGTGTTTCTATAAAAGAGATTCTTAAAAGAGGAATTGCTGGGTCAGTGTTTTATGAATTTCAAAATTTTGATGGATCTACTAAAAGGCTGTCTGTAGAAGCTCTACCAGTTTACAATTCTATCACAGACGAGTGAGAGAGCCCATTTCCCCACATCTTTCATGTTCATTATTCCAGTCTGGTATGGAGTGTATAAAGTGTATATATACATTGTGTATAGTGTGTGTGTGTGTGTGTGTGTGTGTGTGTGAAGTGTATATCCAAATACCTTGAAACAACTCTAGAAGAATACATATTAGTTAACAGTGATGACCACTGGAAATGGAGAAAGAATATGTGTGCAGTGGGAAATGAAGCAATTCTACATTTTAGTCTACAGATTTTGATAATGTTTAATCATTTACAACAAAAGTGTATTTGTTTACTGGTGTGTGTGCATGTGTGGAGAGAGAGAGAACTACTCGATAAACCATTTCTCATATTTGTTGGGAACCTTCAGGGACAAATGGATGGCACTAAACTTCCTCAAGCACTTAATGTATACTATGCACAGCCGTACAGCTCACTGTATCTGTACTGCAGCTTTATAAGGGGAGTTACTTACATTTACAGATGCAGAAAGAAGGGGAGATAGACCTGACCAAGGCACCAGAATAGATAGGCCTTCCAAGGACTTTCCACTGCACTCTGGGCAGGAGCACGGAAACATTACCCGCGTCCACGCAATACACTGGTGTTTAGAGGAGATCAAGGAAAGAGGACAGCTTGCTTCATAGGTGAGGCATTCCTGGCTTTTCACTGGAGTGACCTTGGGTCAAGTTCATCAGCTCTGCCTTTTATGCTTTCTGACCTTCATTTGGGCTCTATGTCTGTAGCATCAGCTACTGTTTCCTGCAACTGGGGAATGTTTTCTCCCCAAACCATCTCACAGATGAGACCATCTCTCTCATCTTCCTCTTGAGTTCCTGAGTCTCTTTGCAGTCGGATTCAATACATTTTCACTCTGCTCTGTGGAGGAAAGGCAAATAAGAGACTGCCTTCTTGCTCCTCTTTCAACTGCCACAGCCTAGCTAGGGTCATGTCATGCAAACAGAAACAATGGGATCTGGAGAAGACAAGAATAGAAAAAGAGGCTTTTGTTACTAAACAGACCTTAATTTGAATGTCAGCTTTGCAATTTAACAGCGTGAATGCTTTATTTCTTGGCTCCCTGTTTTGCTTCTCTGTAAAGCAGAAATGATGATGGTTAGAAAATAAATATACAAAATGCCCAGTGGGTAATACATGCTTACTAAGTAGAAACACCACCATTGCTGCCATTTCTACCATTACTGAATTATTTTTTAAGTACCCTACAATTCCTGTTTTTGTGGTCTATGTTTCACAAGGCCTCATAACAGCCTAGTTTATTAAGGTGGGACAGGAGAGTCTACCCATCTTACATACAAGGAAACTGGAGATCAAAGACGTTAAATGACTTGCTGGTGTTCACATAGGTCTAAAGGATCAAAGATGACATACAGGTGTCTTTAGTTGTTCAGCCCATCCTCTTGTGTGTCTTATTTATTATGAACACCTAGTGCCTAGCAAAGAGCCACGAACATGTAGACACTCAAAGGATTCTAGTTTCTGGATTGATTTTTTCAGGGGCTGAGGCTTCTACTTCCTTCCCTCCTCTCATGCCTTGCTAAGAAATTTCTCTTCCCATTTCAAATATCCCCAAATTGCAAATATTATTTCCACACTCCATTCGGATGCCTCTTTGGTCCATAGGGGAGCCTGCCCCTGCCTCAAAGGCATGTCAAGGGCCCTTCTGCTGTCAGGATTGGGTAATTAGAGGCCAACAGAGGCCACTAACATTGCTAATTGAATAGTAGCAGTGGCTCCTGGTCTGTGTGCTGTCCCTGGTCCTGAAACAATCACCTCTAAGCTACAAGGGCAATAAAAACCTTGATTTTGTTACAGTCTTCAACCTGGGTAGACAGATACAGTGGGAATAGATTCTTGTTTGGGACACTTGTTGATAATTCCCTGTGAATTGGTCTGTCATGCTTTTTAAAGTCTGTGTGTTCACAGAAAACAGTTTTCAAATTTGCTTCGCGTGTGGATGCATGCTCTGGTTTCCCCCTCGCCTCCTCCAAAATGTCACAAATGACTTTCCTTGAATTTACCAATTTGCAGGATTAATGTGCTTCTCTCTAGACACCTGTGCCCTAGATAGATTCCAGCCAGAATTGCTGTCTCCAGTCCTAGACTCTGACCTGTTTTGCAGGCAAAGGAGGCCGTGGTTTTAGGTCACCCCCCGTGGGGGCACCCAGCATGTGGAGCTAACTGTCGGCTCTGTTTTATCATGCAGTTGTGTGGAGGAGTACAAGCTGGCTCCGGATGGAAAATCCTGCCTCATGCTCTCAGACGTCTGCGAGGGCCCCAAGTGCCTCAAACCCGAATCCAAATTCAACGACACCCTCTTTGGAGAGATGCTACATGGGTACAACAACCAGACGCAGCACGTGAACCAAGGCCAGGTCTTCCAGATGACCTTTAGGTATGGGGCAGACACGTGTGCTTCAGTGGTTGAGTTACTGTCCCAGATCTGGGCACGGGAGGAAGCCATGGGCATCCATTGATCACAGTCCTGTGTGACTGGCCAGCACCTCCCCAAGCTTATTGATGCCTATCCACGAGGCGTTAGAAGTCAGCCAAGTTCATTCCATGAGGTTCCTTTCCCACGACCTAGCCCTTATTTATCCCGCCCTTCCATTTTTCTAATTTTATCCACATATTTTTAATCCAATCTTGAATTACCCTATAAGTACAATTAATGGAATTAAAAAATTTTTAAATTGATCTATCAGTCTATTAATAAATATTCTATGTAGGTTATTCAGGCCATTCAAAAATAAAGACATTTAATGAAGTAGAAAATAAAATCCCCATCAACCAAAAATATACCAAATTTACATTTTTCTGAATATTCTTAAAACACCTTTTTCCCTCTCTATCTGCACACATACACGTGCATGCACACACATGCATGAACACACACACACACACCCCAAAACTCAGTAAAACTATTTAGAAATTCCTTTTCTTTTTTTTTTTTTTACTGTTTAGAATTTGCTTTTTTTGCTCAAAATAAGGCCAAATTTAACCTTTCCCTTTTAGCAAATATAGAGGTATGGGAGGAATTAAAAGATGAGTCTACCTTCACATAAGAGCAAACAAAATGGGAACTGGGTTGGCCATATCATACAAAGATGAGACATGCCTCTAATTGTGAAGGGCTTCCTGGGAGAGTTGAGGACACTGAGGCTGTTTGGTCTGGAAAAGAGAGGCCTGGGTGGATTTATTCATGTTCAAAATCTGGAGAATCCTAAGATGGTAGAGTGAGAAGAATTATTCCATGTACAAGAAATATCATCTAAAAAACCTGCATTTGTAAACATTTTTGCATGAAAATATAATAGGATATTATCCAAGGCAGGATTCTCCCTACATTTGAAGTCATGCTAATGAAGGTCAGAACTGATAAGACATCACCATTATAATCATCATCATCCCCATCCCATCATTTAATTTATAATAGTAGTGATTGTGTGAAGTGATAATAACCATTTTTTTATTAAAGAATTACTCTATATCAAGTCTTTACTAAGTATTTTTAATATTAATAGTAACAACCACAACTGCTGATATTAACTCAGTACATGTCAGGACATTTTAAGCACTTTACATCCATTAATTTATATAATCTCAACAATTGCCCTGTGGAGCAGGCAGGGGTTATTAGCATCCCTTTTATACACAGGAGAAATAGAAGTGTTAAGTGTTTTCCCTAAATTCCCCTTCTAGGAAGGGAGAGAGCCAGGATAATGCCATTTTAGCATTTTTATTAAAACCCTTGGAGGCACAATGGCCCCCATTTTACAATCAAAAAGTTAACACCAGAAAGGTAAATTTACTTTCCCAAGGTCACCATCTAGTTCAGAGGGAGAGTGAAGATTCGGTTGTAAATTAGGCTGATTACAAAGCCTTGCTTTCCGTTTTCTAATCCAATATACCTCATCATTTCCCACTCAATAGAACTAGAATGGAATATGAATTCCCTAAAATCATTCATCTGTAGTTAGTTATAAGATACTTCTAGAGTACCTAGTACGTTCCAGGCACCATGCTGGTTACTTGGGATACAATGGAAAATGAGATAAAAGTGGCACCAGACCTGTGGTGCTTAAGTATAGTGTGTGTGTGTGTATATGTGTATGTGTGATCTTATGTGCTTACATAATTTGTGGTAGGTACTATGAGGTAAATCTATAGTGTTCCAAGAAAGCAATTAACAGTGGGGGCTAATTTAGTTGGAACAGAGTGGTCGAGGAGCGTCTATTGGATTAGAAAGCAATAATAAGGCTTTAAGGCCTACTTTTCAGACGAAGTGTTATTTAAGTAATAACCTGGAAGATGAGTGGGTGTTAGCACTGGAAAAGGTTTCAAGCAGAGACAAATGTTGTGAGGAGGAAATGAATGCAGTTGTCTTTAGGAAATGAAGAAGTCTGGTGTGGTTGAAGCTGAGTAGTAAGGGAAAAATGATGAGGGGTGAGGTGAAGCCAGCACAGGAAGTAATGGCCAAACGTGAGGACCTTGCAATCCAAGTGGTTATTCTAATAGCAAATGAGAGAACTCTAAATAGTTAAACGAGGGGAGGGTGTCAGGATTGCATGGCATTTTTCAACGCTGTGGTGGCTGTGTGGGAAGTAGATTGTCATGAGGGTGTAGAATGGGAGTTAATTAAGTGTTTATCTTGGAAGCTGTGTGAGAATATTGGTGGCTTCAACCAGGATGCTGGGAACAATTCAGAAAGAAAAAGGGATATTGAGAGAGAGTTGGGAATTATAATGGACAAGGGTCATTTAGCAGTTATAGGCCTTTAAGGATATAGGCCTTCAAGGATATAACCTTTAAGGATAAGGTTGGGGGAGGATTCAAGGGTTACGATTCAGTGGCAGAATTGAGTCTTCTAATTCCCAGTACAGGTTCTTCCAACTACTCAGATGTTCAAGTAGTGGCGGCGTGCAACTTCGTTGGAAGAACTCTGGGAGAAATTTAAGGACACTCTGGATGAACTACACAATGTTGAGATTCTATAGTGCCGGCTTTCTGTAGTTCTAATAGTCCATGAAACTATCTTGAGCATCACGATGAACAGAATAATTCTGAGTGAAATCCAAAAGGAAAAAATTAAGGAATTTTCCCTTGCCTTCAAGAAAGGAATTTATAAGCTTGCAAGATGACACACACAATTGAAAAGATATATGAACATTTACTTTGCAAAGCAGTGGTCCAAGGAATGTGAATGGTTTCTAGAGAGTTCCTATGTTAAACCTTTGGAAAGGAATTAGAAGGGATGATAAAAGGGCTTCTAAGAGGATGAGGCTTGTGAACTAGATTTTGAAGAAGGAGCAAAGAACAGTGCCTCTTGGGAAGAATATAGGGCATTTTCCTGTCCAGGAAGGAGCGTGCAGAGGCCCAGGCATATGGGTAAGCAGGAGTGGGAAGGTTCCAGATAGACACAGCCCGAATCCTGTCCCCACCCATGACAAGCACAGTCCTACTGCCTCTTCTTTAAAATGGGCTGTTTGCTCAGATGCCAGCCTCTGTAATAGGCACCTTTCATGTTTCATGTAGTTTGATTTCTCACAGCAATTAATACCTGGAAGATGAGTGGCTGTCAGCATTGGAAAAGGTTTCAAGCAGAGACAGAATGGCTGGCGTGTGAGAAATGATCAAATGTACTGGCTCCCATTTTCTTGTGTGAAGATTAGTGTGGTCCAAAAAGAAGGATCCAAATTGGATAGCACGATGCTAGATCCTACAGGGGTTCCATGGAATCCCAGGACCTCATTTATACATGGGGAAAGGACTTGGCTAAAAGCCAGTCATCGCAGAGGCTGCTCATGATCTCAGATCTCCTGATTGCCCAGTGCCTTGCCTTCCCACAACCATCAGATTGGTCAGTAAGAGAACATGGGTCAGTAAGAGAGAGCCTTAAAAGCTGGTCTGGGAGTCTGCCGACTCAGACAGAATTTTAGCCCCATCAGGCATCCTCATTCTGCCTCAGACACTGTTCATTGTTCCCAACTCTTCAATCTTGAGTCATATCTGAATACCCAGTGTATGCCCTGCTTTGCTCATGGAGTGGGTATTGTGAACACACCACGCTTTCTCTTTTGACAACAGGCTCAAGATTTAGGGAATCCTGCAGACTGCCATTATGTTCGAGTGGCCCATTTCACTTAAGCTCTCTCATCCTTGCCTTCAGTTAAACTCTATTTCCATCCCTAGACCGTATCACCTCTTGGAAGCACATGCTAAGACAGTTGACTTCTCACCGTGGGAAGCCAGTGGCCTCACTTGAGTCTAAATTTATCTCTTTCAAGTCTCCCTTTCCAAGCCCCAGATGAGGGGAGGCTGCGTCTCTTTTGTCCTCCAAGCTCCAGAAGGCAGGCCTGCAAATTTTTCAGCATCAAAGGCAGTTGTCATTTCTCGCCTCCTCCCCCTTCCTTCTCTCTCTCCTTAAGTAATCTCCGGTCCAGTCCCCCAGAGTAGCCAGAAGGCATCCCACCAGCCGTCCTGCCATATGCCTCATTTCCTGACAACTTCCTGGCCTGGGATTTCAAACTCTCTCCTAGTCGAGTGTCTCCTGTGTGACAGCTCCAGGACTCTGCTTTGTTCACCTCCCTGCCCCCTCCCAGATCCCCACACCTAGAAGCTGCTGGTGGTAGGGAGGTCTGCATTCTGATTTCTTCTCTCACAGCTCTAAAGGAGCAGCCTGGATTTCTGCTTTACACAGAAATCCTCACATTTTAAGTCTCCAAACAGGACACAACACTTAAAAGATTAAGCAGTTCAGACCTAACCCTTTGTTGTACCCAAAGACAAACAGGCCATCAAAGGATGGAGCTTGCTCAGTGCTTACTATGATATGGGGCCTCTCTGAGGCTGAAAGAGTGTGTGACTCCCAAACCAGTGTCCCCCCTGGCTTCTGGTTCTGAAGGGGACATATGTAACTTCTTGATAACCCGGGATAGCATGTGGTGAGAGGAGCCACCTGTTCCCTCCCTGCTGTCAGCAGAGAGGGGGGACTCAGGGCTCATAGGGGAATGCTGAATCCTTAACTGAAGAAGGACCTTAGGCAAAGGCCACCCCCAAGTGCATGATTCTGCAGGAAGTTGATCCCATTCCTGGCCACCTCTTCAAGTTGTCACATGCAGGCTGCAGCCTGTCTCTGAGAGATGAGCATGTAGAGATATTTAGGACCCAGACAAGGCCAGGAGGCACCCACCGTGTGTGAAGATGAAGTGTGGCACACACTCTGAGAGCCCCACAGAAGGTTAGAGACAGGGTGGGAGCTTCAAGAAAAGCAATCATGGCCACGGAGGAGGAGGACCAAGATGGGGCAGACCGTGAGTGTCTACGTGACAGAGCAGGGAATGACAAGCACAGAAAGAACTGGAGGGGTGGGGCAGCAACAAGGGCTAAAGAAGC